TCGTGGAGGCTCGTTCGGCGATCCGCAAAAATTCCGTGTCGGCTCCCGTCCGGCGCCGAATCAGTCGAGCGTGCGATCAGTGTAATTCGCTCCGGACCAAATGCGACGGACAACACCCATGTGCACATTGCATCGGTAAGCTCTTCTGTCTTCGTAGATTGATTCCTTCCCGCTCCAAGTCCCCCGGTGAGTCAGCAGGCTGACTGACGGCGGCGCAGAATTCGGGTTGACCTGTGAGTACGCTCGGGAACGCAAGAAGCGAGGGAAGGCTTCGAAGAAAGACCTGGCAGCTGCGGCTGCAGCTACCCAGCTGGGCAACGGTCAATCAGCCCAAGAAAATGGCGCACTAGTGGGGGAGCATACGCCCCCGGATCGGCGACGATCGTCTCAGGAGGTCAACGGGCGATTTGACGGGGGTTTTGACACAGCTCAACATCTCAATCCTCCGTCACGACAGGTGCGGGACCCTAATGCTCCTCCGAGTATGTCTACGGTTGAGGATGCGCACTCAGCTCCGCCGCATTCGCAGCCATCCTTGAGGGCCGCCATCGATGTCATGCACATGAACCATTTCAATTCGTTGAACAACGAGTCACATCGTGCTCCAATGCCTGTCGCCGATCTTCGCGCCTTACCGACCTCAATCCTATCGTCGCATGGGTTAAGTTCGGGGTTTGGTGAAAACGCGTTTGCGATGGTGAACTCTCAGGAACCTAATGCTTCCGCTTTGAACCATTTTCGAATTGGAAATTCGGCCGAGAACCCCACGGCTCCGTTCTTAGGACTATCGCCTTCTGCACAGTCTCCAGGCTGGCTGCCTCTGCCCTCACCATCTCCCGCCAACTTCCCTTCCTTTAGTCTGCCGTCATATTCGAGTACGTTACGATACCCCGTGTTGCAGCCCGTGCTGCCTCATATCGCGTCCATCATTCCACAATCCCTCGCCTGTGATCTCCTTGATGTCTACTTTACCAGCTCATCCTCTTCACACCTTTCGCCATTATCTCCTTATGTGGTGGGATACATCTTCCGGAAGCAGTCCTTCCTCCATCCTACCAAGCCACGAGTGTGTAGTCCTGGTTTGCTGGCCAGTATGCTCTGGGTCGCCGCGCAGACGAGTGAGGCTGCGTTCCTGACATCTCCGCCCTCTGCTCGAGGGCGTGTCTGCCAGAAATTACTAGAACTGACCACTGGCTTACTCCGGCCACTGATTCATGGACCGGCAACGGGGGAAACATCGCCCAACTACGCAGCTAATATGGTCATCAACGGTGTCGCCCTAGGTGGATTCGGCGTCTCGATGGATCAGCTAGGTGCGCAGAGTAGCGCAACCGGTGCCGTGGATGATGTGGCTACATATGTGCATCTAGCCACGGTCGTTTCAGCAAGTGAGTACAAGGCCGCCAGTATGCGTTGGTGGACGGCAGCATGGTCTTTGGCGCGCGAGTTGAAGCTGGGTCGTGAGCTGCCGCCCAACACTTCCCATACACGGCCAGACGGCGAGCGCGAGGGCGACACCGAAGGGGATCCTTCGAAACGACACTCTACGTCGTTGATGGCCTCCATGGGACTTGGACCCGGCAGTACAAATATTAATGTCACAGAAGAGGAACGGGAGGAGCGCCGGCGCCTGTGGTGGCTACTGTACGCGACAGACCGTCATCTGGCTCTCTGCTACAACCGGCCATTAACGCTGCTCGATAAAGAGTGCGGGCGTCTATTGCAACCCATGAATGACGACCTTTGGCAAGCGGGCGATTTCTCTACCGCCAGCTATCGCCAGGTTGGCCCTCCCCTCGAGTGCACCGGTCACAGCATGTTCGGGTATTTCTTGCCGCTGATGACTATCCTTGGTGAAATCGTTGACCTCCATCATGCCCGAAGCCATCCACGTTTCGGTATTGCGTTTCGAAATAGCACTGAGTGGGAGCACCAGGTGCTGGAGATTACCCACCAATTAGACACCTACGCGCAAAGTTTGAAAGAGTTTGAGGCGCGCTACACCAATAGCTTGGCCCTAGCAAATGCGGAGAATGAGCAGATCGGCGAGGGCGCCCATTTGGATCATGTTAGTCCGTCGGGTCGTTCTAGCAGTACGGTCGGATCCCGGGTGAACGAGTCCATTGTGCACACGAAGATGGTTGTCGCGTATGGTACCCACATCATGCATGTTTTGCACATTCTTTTGGCGGGCAAGTGGGATCCGGTCAACCTGTTGGAGGATCACGATCTGTGGATCTCCACCGAAGCTTTCGTCTCTGCGATGAGCCATGCCGTTGGCGCCGCCGAAGCGGCAGCCGAAATTCTGGAGTTCGATCCGGATCTCAGCTTTATGCCCTTCTTTTTCGGAATCTATTTGCTGCAGGGTAGCTTTCTGCTACTCCTGGCCGCCGACAAGCTGCAAGGTGACGCCAGTCCGAGTGTTGTCCGGGCTTGCGAGACGATTGTTCGCGCCCACGAGGCTTGCGTTGTCACCTTGAATACTGAGTATCAGGTATGAATTGCTACGACCCTAGCATCCATGTCTTCTAAACTAATACCTTTGCTTTCAGCGAACATTCCGCAAGGTCATGCGCTCGGCTCTGGCGCAGGTGCGAGGTCGTATCCCCGAGGACTTTGGTGAACAGCAACAGCGTCGCCGGGAGGTGTTGGCGCTGTACCGGTGGAGCGGTGATGGCAGTGGTCTTGCCCTTTGATGATGGGCTGGTGTCGCATTGATTCTTATTGCATATTGCCGTATATTCTCACTATACCCATGCAAGCGATTGACATGATGTGATGTGAATTTATCCGCGATTTGTGGGATGATTTCGAGGAGTTTGGGAAGGGGAGCAAATTATCCTTGGGTGCGGTTTGATATCCCTGAGTTCTTGTTTCGGTGGTAAATACTTCTTTTCCGTGGTGTGGTGTCCGTGGCTGGCTTTGTGTACAGTACATGATGTCAGAGCCTTGCGGTGGATATAGCCATTGTTTTGTCAAATATAATCCGTATATAACTATTGATGCTGATCTGCTCTTGTTGACATAGTAGGTTGAACCGAGGTAGGTAGTAGGGAAGGGGCCCACGCTTGTATAGTAATCATCATCGATTGGTATACGAATGTAGTACGAGTGTGGAAATAAATGGTAAGGACTTAGACAACGTCTCAAGAATGATTATACGTTGATACGAGTCGGAATTCAGCTTCGGAGTCGAATTCGGAGTTTATTGATTTTGTTATCAGAAGTGGGGTCTGTCTCACTACTCAGTAGCCCTGCCTGTCAACTAAGGCCTTCCCAGTCCCCGGGCCTGGGGCCCGCCCCGCCAAGTCAACCGCCTTCCTGTTTAGGCACGCTAAGCCTGTTTAGACCTGGGAGTCACCCCACAACTGAGAGTTCCCAGTAAGTTCTGCTTGACATTGCACCTTTCTCTACTGTGAATTGTGGACGTCACTTGACTGACAGCCGCGGAGGTTAAATACGGATTCAAAAGACCTCCGCCTCAGCCTCACCGAGCTCCCCTTCTTCCCTTCAAACTCCCACAGGCCCACGAAAACCCCATGATTCTTCGACAATGAAACCCGTCATCGCTGTTCCTGCTATTGCAGGTCTTCTCTATCGTGCCTGGTCACACAAGACCCTCACCACCCTGGGTTTGGTCGCCGCCGGGCTGACCGCTTCAGCTCACGCCCTCCACCCATGGTCGACCCCGTTTATCCTGCTGGCCGTATTCTACCTCGGAGGTAGCCGAGTGACCAAGGTGAAGTTTCTCTTGGATACTACCAATTGAGGCCCTGCTAATAGATCTGATGGGTATAGGTCAAACACGAGATCAAATCCCGCTTGACCCTCTCCGCGACCGGCTCCGAGGGCGGCGAAGGCCCTCGCACCCACGTCCAAGTCCTCGCCAACTCCATCGTCGCCTCGGTGCTCATCCTCGCCCACACCTACGTCCTCGCGAAGCGGTCCGCCGCCGGATCCAACGCCGCTCAATGTTTCTCGAACGGTCACGATGTAGCGGACGTGTTGATGGTTGGGATTGTCGCGTAAGGATTCCCCCCCCCCCCTCCCGGAAAGCTTTTGTTAATGACTGTGTACTGTACACACAGGAACTACGCCGCCGTCACCGCCGACACCTTCTCCTCCGAACTGGGGATCCTCTCCACCTCGAAACCGCGCCTGATCACCTCGCCCACCTTCCGCGTCGTCCCCCCCGGCACGAACGGCGGCGTCACCGGCACCGGCCTCCTGGCCGGCATGTTCGGCGCCTTCACCATCGCGCTGTCGTCGGCCGCGTTCTTGCCGTTCTGCGGTGCCCCCCCGGGCGGCAGTACTTTGGGTTTGTTGACGAGTCGCGCGGGGTGGGTTGCGGCTGTCACCGCCTGGGGCACTCTAGGCAGCGTGCTGGATAGTATTTTGGGGGGTCTGTTCCAGGCGAGTGTGGTGGATAAGCGGACGGGGAAGATCGTGGAGGGGTCCGGCGGGAAGAAGGTCCTCGTTCATCCTTCCTCAACCAAGGCGGGTGTCTCGGCCAACGCTGCGGGGCTTACGCCGGCGCGTGGGGTTAGCATTAGCAGTAGTGCGGCGCAGCAGCTGCGGGCGACTGAGGATATTGCTAATGCGGCGACGGCGACGGCGACGTTAAGGGGGAGTCGGGGGGATGTTGGTTCTTCTTCTTCTTCTTCTTCTTCTTCTTCTTCTTCTTCTTCTTCGGTGGGAGAGACGACAACGACAACGACAACAAATGACGGGCATGAGAGTCGGCGGGTGGAGAGCGGACATGATATTTTGGATAACAATGCGGTGAATGTGTTGATGGCGGTAATTATGAGTGTTGGGGCGATGGGGGTGGCGGGGTGGGTTTGGGGGCTGGATGGTGCGGATTTGGTGTGGTAGTTTTCTTTTTGGAGAGGGAAAGGGGGTGGGTTAATATGATATGGTAATTTATGGATGCTTATTATGTTCTATCTTTGGTGAAATGAGTCTTTGCTGATTTGGTTGCAGTATATATTTCTCTCGGTTGGCTTGTTGGATCGACGATGATATCAGGCAAGGTCTCAAGTCATTGGGTTAATCCCCAACTTGGATCACACCTTCTAAAATAACTTCTTTTCGAGCACTAACGGAAGAAAGAAAGAGGCTATTTCTACATCAGGGTACAAGTATTGATCTTCTTCTCTGCCGCCCACGCAGCCCATGCTGCCCGATTCTTCCGCTTGATCGCCTCGCGGTATTTCTGCCCCTCCCGGTCCAGGTAGCTCATGGTGACGCCCTTGTCCTGCACGTACTCGTTGAACGCCTTCCAGCTCTCCTCCGACATCAGGATCTCGTTGCGCTGCTCGGGGAAGATGTTGGTCGGTCGGGTCCGTGGCGCCATGCCCTGCGGGTACATCTCGAACGTGAAATGTTTCTGGCTGCGGTGCAGCTGGAGTCCGTCTGAGTCGAACTCCCCCGCGACGAATGGCAGGCGGGACTTGGGAGTTAGAAGTCTTCGCCGACCGTCATCGTGGTCCTTGTCGGGGGTTGCTTCCTTGGGTGGCCGCCGGTCCTCCTTTTCTTTTCCCCATGTGTGCGGGGGAAAGTGGAAGTCTGCGGATACAGGGCTAGCGTTCTCCGGCGAATACCCATACAAGCTGTGAGCTCGATCTCGGTCCTGCTCCGGATTTTCGGTTTGCTGCTGTTCTTCATCGGTCTCATAAGGCACAGCTTCACCGGGTAGCTCCCCCTCCTCGTCCCCCTCCTCCCCCCATGTGTGCTCGGTGTCCTGAAGATGGGGGAAATGGAAGTTCGCGGAAAGAGGACTAGTCGACTGCGGCGAGTACCCATACAAGTCATGAGCATGATCTCGATCCTGCTCCGATTGCTCGATCTGCTGCCGTTCTTCATCGGTCAGCCCGGGCCTGGACACCCGCAGGTACCACTTGATGGTCTCACCCTCCGGCGCGTCCAGGATCCCCTCCCGACACGCCTGGAAGCACTGCTGCGCCTCCTGGTAGTTCTCGCGAAAGTACTCCACCCTACCCTGCCAGTACTGGCACCGCGCCAGGCACACCGGGTTGCCGAGCCGGTTGGCGATGCCAAAGGCCTCGAGGACAAAGTGCTCGGCCTCGCGGTCCTGGCCCTCCTCGAGGAAGGTGATCGCCCGGTGCAGGGCCAGGGTGACCTCCCACCGATCCAGCTTCTCGTCGAGCTCGGCCAGCAGCGGCTCGATCGGGGATTGTGCGCGTCTCCGTTGGTGTTCCTCCAGCGCTGCTCGCGCCTCGGCTTTCTTCCTGCGACGCGCCGCCTTTCGCGCCGCCGCCTTCTCCCGGGCCTCTACCAGCGTCGGCGACGGGGTCGACTGGCGGTCCAGGAACTCCGTCCCCACGTACCAGTAGTTCTCGTCCGGGTCGTACTCCTTCCAGGAGGTGTCGCCCTCGTCCAGCGGCGGCAGCGGCTCCGGGTTGTATTCCGAGGCGAGGTCGGAGTCGTTGCCGGCGTCCTCGTCTGAGAAGTCCTTGAATTGATACTCGTCGGAGTCATCGTTCCGCGTGCGGTCCACTTCGTCCTCGGAGGAGGATTCGCCGAAGAAGTGGCGCTTGATGGGTGGTAATGGGTTCATTTTTTTTTCCGTTGTTGAGTATATGTATGGCCAAAGGTGCTGGGGTTTGTTTGGTTATGAAGTTGTTGGAGATGCTAAGGGGGCTTATATATTCATATGTGCGGGTGTGCCCTTGGGCTTGATGGTGAAAGGGCTCTTTCATGGAGCTCGCTGGAGGACAAAGCGCCGTGGGACAAAGCAATTGTGTCTCTTTCTGGTGAGGCGTGCCCCCAAGCCATTCTGTGGTTTCCCGAGACATCAAGGCGAAGTGTCTCCATCGTAACAGTTTACTCGGACTCCAGAGAGATTTGATGGAGCGAGCTAAAATGACCTGGGTCATGATAATCATCCTGGCAGCTGCAGCGCAGCAAGGATCTGGGTAGCCCTAATCTTATCACATCTGTTCAGCTTTCCTGGTCCTGTCATCATTCGGTACGGTAGATCTGTGGTGATCATCTGACAGTGCAACCACAGGCAGGCACCGAGTTGCTGGACTTGGCGCATCTGGCGGACCATTTTTCTGCTTTTTGTTTCTGAAAGCTTCGGGCAACACGAATTGGATTATGAATCAAGAAAACCTTGCTGTGAGTCAGGATGGATCACAGCCTTGGTAAGCAGAGACGTGGATCTGAGTTAGTGCAACAAAAGCAACAAGGAAAAAAAGCGCCGAATGATCTCAGATACTCATAGAGCAGTACGGAGTATGTCCGTGAGCTGAAGACAAAACATCCAAACGCAGCAAACAGGTGGAGATCTCCACCCCAGAGTGGGGCCGATACGACCCTGGCAGGCAGCCTGGCTAACAAATAGTGCAACAGTGCAACAGTGCAACAGTGCAAACACCACAAAGCACAAAGCAATGCAAACAACAACGTCATGACCCTCTCATGCACTCCTCGATCCATCCACTCAATCCATCTCTTTCCCTCCCTCCCTCTCTTCTCTCTCTCACTCTCTCGTTCTCGCCCAACTTTATTGTCAGATTGTCAGACTCGTTGGAAATCGCACCCGTATGCCTGCGTCACTTCCGCTTTTCCCACAGCTCCATTGGATCGTTCCACCACTCAGCGGGGGAGTTCGGGGGACAAAAACAAAATCATGATGAATGGACCGACCTCCAAGGAATCCCCTTCCTTGCGTGGTGGGGTATCGTTCGTTCCATGTAAAAATAACCCCATCAACTTCCCCTCCTTTCAGCCGTGGTCTGACTGCCCTCGAGCAATAGTTGCGAGTCTCATCATCCATGGCTGACTGATAAGATCCATGCCCCGGTGGGCTGTTTGCATTCCGACTCTTTTCCACAAATGTTCAGGGACATGCTACTCATACAGGGCACCGTCCCCCCCTCTCTTCCCCCCCACCAGCAGAAGGCCACTACTTATGCAGCTGGTCTTGCTTTTCCTGTTTATTTACACCTCGCTCAGATCTTCTCGGTGCTGCAAGGGCCGACTGACTTGACTGACTGACTTGCATTTCACCCCTCTTCCTCTTCATCCTCCTCATTTTACCCCTCTTTCCTCCATACATACTCCCCTTTGCACCCGACGTGCATACGCATTTATACAACAACATTCTTAGGCGCACACAAACTACATTGCCTTCTCTTTGTTTCTCTCTCCCTACCTCTTTCTCTCTCTCTTATCTTTCTCTCGCAGACCTAATTAAAGTGCGCCTTTTGGCTAGTCCCAAAATTTTGGTGTTTGAATTGGGATATACGTATTATCCTCCTGGGCTTTCCTTGTTCCCCCTTCCAGAGGACCTCGGTATATTATAAAATAGACTTCAAGCCACACGGACCTGCAACCATGTCTCCGTTAACTTGTCCCACCAAGAGTGTCGACATTGTGGCCATCCACCAAAATGCACTGGAGTTCTCCCTGGTGAACGAGATCCAGCGAGGAATCTCTCCTCCGGCTGGCACCACTCGCTCAATGCCCACCATGCTGCTGTATAATGACCAGGGACTGAAGCTCTTCGAAGAGATAACTTATCTCGAGGAGTACTATTTAACCAATGCGGAGATTGAGGTGCTGCGCACGCACGCCCAGCGGATCGTGGAGCGCATTCCGGACAATGCGCAGTTACTAGAGCTAGGGAGCGGGTACGTGCTGCTTTCCATTTTTTTTTCTGGAATCCGGACAACGGAAACTAAAATGAAATTGAACTGTATAGAAACCTCCGCAAAGTTGAGATTCTGCTCCGCGAGTTTGAGTCGGCCGGCAAGCACGTCGATTATTACGCCCTCGATCTGTCCCTGCCCGAGCTTCAACGCACCTTTTCCGAGATTTCGATCGACGACTTCACGCACGTCGAGTTCCACGGCCTGCATGGCACCTACGACGACGCTATGGCTTGGCTGGATAGGCCCGAAAACCGGAAGCTGCCGACGGTGATCATGTCCATGGGGTCGTCGATTGGCAACTTTGACCGGCCGTCCGCGGCGAGCTTCCTGGGGCAATTCGCTCGCCTCCTGGGCCCTGACGATCTGATGATTATTGGCCTGGACGCTTGTAGTGATCCGGACAAGGTGTTCCGGGCTTATAATGACTCCAAGGGTATTACGCGGCAATTCTACGAGAATGGACTGGTTCATGCCAATGCCGTGCTGGGGTATGAGGCGTTCAAGCTGGAGGACTGGGACGTTATTACGGACTACAATGTTGCTGAAGGGACACATCGGGCGTTCTACGCGCCGAAGCATGACGTGACCATCAATGGAACGGTGATCAAGCAGGGCGAAAAGCTGATTTTTGAAGAGGCATACAAGTATAGTGCTACGCAGCGGGAGCAGTTGTGGCATGATGCTGGGTTGATCCATAAGGTGGAGTATGGGAATGAGGCCGGGGAGTATCGTACGTCCTTCACTCACCAACTTCCTGTTCATTCCATGCGCGTGGCGCTCTGGAGTCGGCCTGATATGTTGTCTGAAGCTAACTCGCGTGTCCTACAGATCTTCATATTCTGTCCTCAGCAGTTTTGAATTATCCGACGAAACCTTCACAGTATGCGGCAGGTGCCGTCCCGACATACGAAGAGTTTCGGAAGCTTTGGACGGCGTGGGACATCGTCACTAGATCGATGGTGCCTCGCGAGAAGCTGCTTTCCAAGCCGATCAAACTGCGCAACGCCTTAATTTTCTACTTTGGGCACATTCCTACATTTTTAGGTAAAGTGCTTGGCTACTGGGTTGACTTTGACTTTGCTAAGCATAGACAGATATCCATCTCACTCGAGCACTGGGCGATGAGCCGACTTATCCCGCGTCATACCAGCTGATTTTCGAACGTGGCATTGACCCCGATGTGGACAACCCTGAACAGTGCCATTCACATAGCGAAATTCCAGATGAGTGGCCGCCGCTCGACGAGATTTTGGATTACCAAGAACGAGTTCGCAGTCGCGTTCGGTCCATCTACCAGAAGAACGACCTGGTCCAGGATCGGACGCTGGGCGAAGCTCTTTGGATCGGCTTCGAGCATGAAGCCATGCACCTCGAGACTTTTCTCTACATGCTCATTCAGAGTGAGCGGATAAACCCCCCTCCTGCGGTCCCCAAGCCGGACTTTGAAAGAATATTCCAAGATGCCCGAGAGCGCGAGAGGCCGAACGACTGGTTCACCATTCCAGAACAGACCCTATCCATAGGACTTGACGATGACGGGCAATCGGTGCCTAGTGTGTCCTACGCATGGGACAACGAGAAGCCGGCGAGGGTCATTTCCGTCCCGGCATTCCAGGCACAGGGTCGACCCATCACGAATGGGGAATATGCTAGATACCTTCAAGCGAATAGCTTGGGCCAAAAACCAGAGTCGTGGATTTGGAACCACCCCAAGGGGTCGTCTGGCGTTGTGCATGGTGGACAGAGTAATGGCCACGCTACGAAGGAGTACCTGGCGAGCTTTGCTGTTCGTACGGTGTTTGGGCCGGTGCCGTTGGAGTATGCGCAGGATTGGCCGGTCATTGCGTCTTATGATGAGCTGGCACAATATGCGCAATGGATGGGTTGTCGAATTCCAAGCTTCGAGGAAGTGAAGAGTATCTATGCTCACGCAGCTCGATTGAATGGAGTCAAGCAGGATTTGCCCAATGGATTTTGGTCGGTCCCCTGATTCTTTTTTTTTATGAGTCAGACTAATGATTAATAGCCACAGCGAGACAAATGGTGTTAATGGACACGGAAACGGCGTCCTCCCCACCAAGATGAATGCTCCTGTGAAGCCTTCGCATGATTCCCAGCCAGTGTTTGTGGACCTCGACGACTGCAACGTCGGGTTCAAGCACTGGCACCCTACCCCGGTCATCCAGCACAGCGATCGACTTGCCGGGCACGGCGAATTAGGCGGGGTATGGGAATGGACGAGCTCGACTTTGGAGCGACATGAAGGATTTGAGGCGATGAAGATTTATCCGGGGTATACCTGTACGTTCTACCTCAAGAGGTTCATGTTACCTGTTGAGACGAATGCTAATGTGACCTTGAAGCCGACTTCTTCGATGGAAAGCACAATATCATTCTTGGCGGGTCCTGGGCCACTCACCCCAGGATTGCGGGGCGGACGACATTGTAAGTTGTTTTCTTTCTGGCCGTGTACATTGCTAACATTGGGATAAGTGTCAACTGGTATCAGCGGAATTATCCTTATCCTTGGGCCGGGGCACGGTTGGTGCGGGATCTTCGATGATGAGAGGGACAGTACCTACAGCAAAGGAGGTTGTGCGTCTGTGTGGACTGGTATGGTTAGTTTTGTATTGAGATAGTGACTTTGAGTGTTGAGGAAGAAGTGTGAGTTCCGAGGATGCTTCTTAAGGTGTGTCTACCTTGACCGAGGGCTGGAGGCTGTGGGCGTAGTTACATCTAAGTGTATCACGACTGTGGTGATGATATTGGGGGAGATTAAGTAGCGTAGTGATGCACCGAGTACCACCGAGAAGTAACTTCCTCTACATGCATACTTTTACTCGTTCAGGACCAGAATTCATCATGATGAAGACATCCCCAGAAAGAGATGCATTCAGGAGGGTATTGCAATTGTGCTGTAGGTAGGACGCAGATATTGTAGTAAGTTACTGTACGGAGTACTATTATCTATCTTATCCCTAGTACTAGTACTTGATCCAACTCATAAAATAGTCAGCGCGGTGCAGACCAACCGATCCCTTCCCCGGCGTGAGCCGAGTTTCCAACACCATGAGAATGTCTTTCAGAAGATAAATAGACAGCCTATGACAATAATTGATTCATTACTTTAGATTCCGTGTGGGCCTTGCCAGTCTCTTTTGATTAGAGGCTGTTCTTGGCAAGGTTGTTTGATGCAGCTGGCATGGTCGGGTGATTTGAGAGTAGGAGCAGTGGCAGTGGCGATGCTTGGAGGATTAGAAGTGGTGGTGGTGGTTTTGCTTGGATGCTCTCTCTCTCTCTCTCTGTGTGTGTGTGTGTGTGTGTTCAGACGTCGAAAGTATCAAGTGGGAGAGCACTGGGTTATTATTTATTATGAGATTCGTTGGTAGGGATCAGTAGTCCCTTCCCCGTTGAATCTCGCCATTTCCTTAACTAACTTCCTTATCTAATTTTCTGAAAGGGGAAGAAGGGAGGGAGGGGGATATCATACCCTGCCAATTTTTTGGTTTCTGTGTTTGGTTGAAGAATGCACCATGTGAAGTACCGGTAGGTGAAGTTACTCCGTAGGCCTGTGATGAATGCTAGTTAACTACGGGTTTTGGGAGTCGAGTCTTTGGTCCGGAGGCTACCTGGACTTAGTACCGGTAGGCCAGCGGTACCTGATCGACGCGGGTTCCGGTTGCTCCACTGGAAACTTATGGAGAGTTTGCGGGTTGAGATCAGGTGATTGGTCTTTTTTTTTTTTTTTTCTGGTTGTATGCAAGGAGGGAATATGGGGGGAAGGGGGGACGGAAGGGAAGGGACGGTAGATGGATGTAGTTACTGGAGGGAAGGGGAATGAAGACTCTGGAATGATGGCGGATGGGGAATTTAGGTTCAGTCATGGGTAGGGTAGGTAGGCGGGTAGTATTGTACAAGGGGCGAGATTTGGTTGTCAATTGATTACTAGTTTTGAATTGATTCTGTGATCAATATACCGACCGGTACGCGACTTCTGTTGACAACCGATGGATTGACCACCCTGAACCACAAATACAAACACAAACCAAGCCTACATCATCGTTGAATGAGGCAGGGAGCAGAACTTCAGCTGGGGCTGGTTTTGCTGACTGGGCTGGGCTAGTTGGGGGCGAATCGCAGCACAGCGTACAGTAACTATTTACTGGCTGTACAGCACTAGGTACAGTACCTACCTAGAATACTATACAAGGGAGGTTGGGGCTTTATCTCTAGATTCCACCGGCACATACGAAGTACATTACGCTAGTTTCAGGGGCCGGGAGGTAGCCGCTGTAGCAGCTGTAGCAGCTGTCACTGTCCCGGTGTATGCAGTCGCAGCAAATTTCAGATTCGATCGACTTATCCCCAAAATAATGCTATTCCTGTTGCTGACATCGTCATAGAGATAGATACTGAGTCACTCAACTCAACTTACCTCCAGTCGGTGAGTATCAAGGAAAGGGTTCGACTATTGCTTCAGATGGTGGACGATCTCCCTTCTTTCTCCCCCAGATCGGGGAATGGAGAGCCCTGATTTGGTGATCCTTCCAATTCGCCCCTCCACCTCCCCCCCGGGGGGGCATTGGCCATTGCTACGGGGACATCCTCAGGGCAGGGCTATTCTGGCATGTAGTACGTATGTAGGAAGATATCTTATTCTATATGTACAGTACAGGAAGGGAGTACGGAGTACTGTAAAGCACAAATCATGGTGAGTCGAGGGAGATAGTGAGTGCTGGCACCGGTTAGTTAGGGGTCTTCATTTCCTGGGTAATGTCCTTTCATTTACACCTCTGCGTCTTCTACACCAGGTCACATATTTCATCATCTATCAGATCCAGGTGAGGATCGACAGGCACACACAGCCCCAACAACCTCGATGATGTCGAGTTCTCGGGATCAACCCTCTATTTAGTGCTTGGTGCCTGGTGCCTGAACGAACCACGGTTTCAGGGAGGAGCAGGGGAGGGGGTTAAACATGGAAATGACGCCTATGACCTAACTTAAGTTACGTACCGTAGACTTACTTACTAACAGCAACAACAATAGCAACCGACAATAGCCACCACATCAACAACCACCGAAGTACAGTACAAGCCACGCTACGCTAAACAAGCAAGCAAGCAAGCAAGCAAGCAAGCATCGCAGCCAGCCCGCCAACGCATTGCATCCGCCTGGCCCCTCTGCCCCTGGGGCCATACATACCCTACCCTGTCTGCATCCATCCGTCTAGAACAACAAAAGAAGGAAAAAAGGAAAAAAAAGAAAAGAAAAAGGAAGGGGGCAGGGATAAAGGATGAATGGGGGCGGACCCGAACATATTTGGCGAGTCGAGTCAATTACCCAGTACTCCGTAACGTACCTAGACTACTGTTGTTGTCCCAGGGAAATCGACCAAGCTAGTAACCTACTCATAGGAGCAAAGAATGGAATGTGTCACATAGCGCGTAAATCCCCCATTAGCGTCCCGAGAAGCTAGAGCAACGGGATTCTCTGGCCTGCACAGGGGAGAGTGCACTCCGTATAGAATAACTTAGCTGTCACGGTAGATTATCTTGTCTTACTCTTCCAATGTTCCTTCCTGCCTTTGTCATTCCCTAACTAACTAACTACCAGACCAAAAGGAACGCCTGCATTAATTCTTGCATTTTGACACGGGCGAGCAAAAATAACAATCCCCCCGAAAAAGACCGTCCAATTGCAACTCTGTCAGCAGCCTGTCGTGTCTCTCTCTTTTCTCCCCTTTTGAGCCAAAAAACAGGGCGAATTGGAGTTCAATTTCTTGAATATATTATCTCCTCCACACTTCCCCCAAAGGGACACAACACCCACCCCCCACTGGCCGCTTCGTTTCTTCATTCTCGATCCACGTAAAAAAAGAGATCTCTCTCCCTCCTCCCCCTCTTCCTCTCTCTTTCTTTTCCCTCCTCTTTCTCTCGCCCTCCACCTCGTCGTCCCTGTTCCCCGCCCAATGTTATAGAGAAAGCACTTCTCTTTGCTTTTTTTTTCGTTTTCTTTTCTTTTTCCCTGTGTTCTGCTTCCGGCAGCCTGTCCCTCGTTTAGAAACCAGATTTCCTTATCTGTGTGGGTTTTTGTAGTCTGTCTTTGACTCTTGCTTTGTTTCCTGGTGTTCTTTTTTCTTTTTCGTTGTTGGGAATATTTGCTTGCTTGCTTGCATAGCCTCTCTCTGTCTCTCTCCGCCGCCTTACTACGGAGTTGCTCTCCACCTCAACCACAACGGTCACTCATTTGGATACTACTAGAGACCATCCCCCGTTTTTAGAACAACCACCAAAAAGCAGACAAACATTTGCTTATTCGCTCGCTACTCGATTGTCCGGAAGGATTACTGGATTTGGATTGATCGCCTTTTGATCATCGTCGTCATCGGCTTCATCAGCTTGCTTCATCGACTTTGCTCCCTTCTTGTTGTATACCGACCGCGACACACGCCATTCGTTCAAAACCGAACCACCAACCACACCATCGTTTACAATTGTTTCTTGCTTGCTAGCAACCTCACACTCATTTGATTCCCAACCAAACCAAAGAACACCTTCGCAGGAAATAGAGGCAATAGACAGAAAAGAAACCATGGAGTGTTTTCGGCAGCTAGGTCGACTGATTAAGGCCCCGTTCAAGCGCGAGAAGCCGCAGCCGCGGGTGCTGGAGATTGTGAGTTTGGCAACATGCATACCCGGGATGCAAGATTTCAAGTTACTGATAACGGCGCTGCAGGGTCCCCCTACAAATTTTCGGAAGGAGGAAATGCCTTCGTTCTTCCCGGACGACGAGTAAGTCCGGTTCTGTTTGCACTGCACTGGACGGTGTTGGGACTAACTGTTTGGTTTGTTTGTAGTGCCGCAACTCTGCACAGTCGTGGATCGACCCTGGAAAAGGAAAAGGATATCGCCATCGCGGCCATCGAACGGCAACAGTCGACACGGGATAAGATCAAGACGCATGTCCGGCGATTGAGTCGGACGGCGGCGGCGGCGGCTCCCAAGCCGTTGGCTGAACAGGAGGAGTGAATGTTCATGACATCCTCCTGATAAACATTATCAACGACGATAGTGATGACGAAGACGACGACGAACAACCCCGCCATCAATATGGGAGAAACTCGGTGCCCAACCTGACTTTGTCAACGCCATACATGCACACACGCACACACACGCAACGGAGCAATGCGCGCGCGCTTGCGCCCGGAATCATAATTACACATCACCTCAGAGAAGGAAGGTTGGCACTTCGTTGAGACGCGATTTCTTCTTCGCCTTTGGATCAATGCCTCGTGGATTTTGCGGTGGAGGAGGAGGAGGAGCTTCACTGGACGACGACGACGACATGCGGGATTGGACCTGGATGTTCGACTTGGGCGGCGGCTCTGGAAGCTGGTCCCAGTCATCAAAGATTAATCTCCTCTTGGATTTAATAGCAATTGGAGTTGGTGTACGATATGTAGTAGTAGTGGCATTCATAGACTGCGCTTTTTTGGATTTTGGCTCGACCGTAGGGGTTTCGTAGGATGAAGACGTGGGTGAAGCATCCGAGCTCGTCGCGTAGTTGTATTCCTCTGTTGGAAGCGGAGGAGAGCGTCGCGTTTGGCGTCGTCGCGAAACTTGGTGAGGTGTGGTCTTCGCATGCGCAGGCGCATCGAGGTCATCGTCCTCATCATCGGACGCCGTTGCGTCCTGATCGTCGTCAACTTGGTGCCCATCATCTCTCCCATGTCTGCTACCCCCATCACCCGCACCCCCAATCCCAGCCCCAACCCTCCTCCCAACACCCCCCGCGGCCTGCGCAAACCCCGCCGCCGCCCTCGTCGCCGACCGTATCCCCTGCACCCCGACCAACGACCGATTCTTCCTCGGACTAACCATCAACTCATGCAACGAAGTCCCCGCCCAGGCCTCATCATCTTCTGCTTCACCCTCATCCTCATCCCCACTCACGACCGGCCTTACCCCAGCAGTCATCGTCTCCAACCCCTCCCGCTGCCTCGCCGCCAACTCCTCCTGGGCGTTTCGCTTTCTACTCTCCTCACTGAGCGGGGTGACCCCATCGGTGGGTCTTTGTTGCTGCTGCTGCTGCAGAAGTTCTCGCTGCTGCGCCTTCACCTCCTTCTTCCGGCGCACGTACTCGGCGTAATGCAAGTGCTGGGTGAAGGACTGGGCGACGCTGTAGAATTCGTCTTCGACCATCATGTAGATGTCGTCATTTTGGAGGCCGGGGATGAGATATCTTTTTTTTTGGAGGGGGGGGTAAGCATTCAACATGTAGAGTGGGGTGGAATGGGGGGAGAGGGGCAAAGGGTGGCTAACTCTTCCGATGGACAGCGGTGGATCGGGGATGAGGGGGGTGTCGGGGCTTTGAGATTCGTTAGTTACTTGGTTAGTAGTTCTCTTCGCTCACTCCCGCTGCGAACGCGATGATCGAGAGGTAGGTTTTGTGGGTGTGGTGAAACATACAGGATCGGAGGAAGTCTCGTCGACGGGTGCGAGATCCCCCGGAGCCCGGGGGGCTGCTGGTCAGCTTGCGCGCATTGTTTCGCGTGGTTGATGATGATGCTGCTGCTGCTGCTGCTGCTGATGATGATGATGTCGCGCCCGCGCGACGGGGTTGCGGTGTGGAGGCCCGGGGTCGGGTTGCTGAGGAGGAGGAGGAGTGTTTACTGCTTGCGGTGGTGTCGAGGAGCCAAGGGAGATTCCGGGGCATTTTCGGTTGTTGGTATTAGCTGCAGGTTATGGAGGATAGACATCCTTTGATCTTTTTGAAGGTAGGATGGTTGCGTTGGGCTTAGAGCTGCGATATGGATCGCGACGGGTAAGTTGGGAAACGCGTTCGATAATCTCCCGCGGGCCGGGACCACCCCGCCTCTTTGCTTTTAGATTTAGGTACTGCCCATATAACCCTGTTGGGAGGGCTGGTTGCTCCACACCTGGTCTCCAACCCGAAGTGGCCGGCGGGCGGCAGTACTATCGTGAGGTCAATTGTAACTTATCCCCTGGCTGCTTTCACTTTCACTTTCACCTTCTTTTCTTTTTCAGTTGATTTGAATTGTTGATGTGAGGATATGGTTTCAACCTTGGGTATCAAATTTAAGTCAATCTTCTAAAAGCCACTCTTTCTCTCGCAACAAGAGCATAAGAAAATCACTTTCTCCCCCAGATCTCATCCCCAACATCAGAAACAAAAGCCCACACACACCCCATATCAAACGCCCAATCCCAAACCCAGCAAGACACACAATTCGCATTGCCCCGCACCCATATGCACAAAGAATCTGGGCTGTAATGCATATAACGCCATTTTTCAGAAAGAAAAAAAAAAAAAAAAAAAAAAAAAGACAAACCAGCCGAGCGCATAAAAGAAACCTGAAACCAAGTCAACCCCTGCCACAGCACCACCTAAACCTCCCCAGGCCGCTTGCTGTTACAGCTCACAATCTTCACCTTGTCCGCCGACACGGTGGTCTGGTTGTCCAGCTTGAACGTCACGTCCTTGATCAGGAAGGTCCAGACCTCATCGCAGAATCGGTAGGTGTCGAGGTGGCCCTGTAGCGTTCACGCACGGATGGTTAGTTTTATCGCGGCGGAAAGAATGGACCCCAGTCTGCTGCGCAGAGAGTGGGATCTTTGGCTTTTCAGGGCAAGAGGCAAGAGGGCAAGACGGTACCTTGAAAGTCAACCTCGCGCGCACCTTATCCGCCAACACCTCGGTGACGATGCGGTCAAAGGTGGAGAGGATCTTCATGGCGAGTTGGGGCTCGATCCGGCCCTCGTTGATCAGGTCGTCCAGGGTGTCCGTGAGGGAGAGGCCGATGCTGTTTTTGGTTGTGTGTTAGTGTCTGGGTGGGTTTCTCCGGGCGTTACTGAGGGGGGGGGGATGGATGTACCTGCTCCCGCGGTAGAGCTCGTAGTATGCCTGGGCGCTCATCGTTCTCGCTTCTTTGGCTGGCTGCAGAGGTCGGGGTAATTGTAAACAGAGTTATCGGGGGTTTTCGTGGTGTGGGCTGAGATCGGGGAACGTGAAGGGGGTTATAAACGGTCAGTTTTGTCAGCTGGTGGAGTTGGAAGGTTGGAGTTGTGACTGCCAGAGAGATATCTTCACGTGATGTGGATCTCTTGGGGAGTTGGGGTCGAGTCATGTGACGTAGTGTGTCGCTTTGCCATCCATTACATCAGTACGATAAGGGTGTTGGGAGTAGATGTCCAAGAAATCGAGGGTCTCGAAAGAAGTAAAAAAAAAATAAACTTGATCACTTCACGATGCTCAGTCTATGCTTAACCCGCAGGTCCTCATGTCTAACGAGACTGAGCTCATCGACTATCTCTCCACATACGCTCTTTGCGCACATTCCATCCGAAATAAAGTATGTCTCCTCCACCGCGTGTAGATTAGCAGATACTAGTACCAAGGGTCAGTTGAAAGACACATCATCACCAAACTCACTTTAGTAGATTGATTTCAGCTTTTGACTAACATAATCTAGACGAAAACTCATCGAACACACAATCATCCCAAGAAAACACACCTAAAGCTAAAAAGCCTGCCACCGACCCCAAATTGAAGAGCGTCTCGCAGGCAGACCAAGAGCTTCGGGAGCGCCTCGAGCAGATGTCTGGAGGCGGTGGTGCTTCCGGGATCGAGTACGAGGATGGCAAGCCCACGGCTATGAAGCGCAGCGTGCGCAATAACATGTTTCGCTATATCTGAGAGACGAGACGGCTTGGCGCATTAGGTTGCTATCGTGACTCAAGCGATGAGCGAGTCTGAAGCGAGTCGCTGGACCAAAACACCTTTCCCCGTGTGGTAACTTGAGGATACAGCCCTGAGCCTGCACTCCTGATGATTCAATTCACCCCAGATACAACCTGATAACGAGAAATGACACTCTACCTGTCAATCGCGATCACATTCTGCCAAGCATATGTATCAAAGATCCTAATTGTAGCTATAATATCATCGAAGAGGAATACAATGGCCGCCGTAGAAACGCCTTACGCATATACTGCAAGTATGCCCTCCGAAATGCTGGTACTTGACGCCTCGAAGTGCAGGTCCTCAGGTCCTCAAAAACAAGCCAAAGCCAAGCCAAGCCAAGCCAACTGTCTACACATTACCGAATCTGCTTTCCAGCATCTTACATGTTTCCAACCATGCCTGCCAGAACACCCGCGCCAATGACACCCCCATCAGACGCCTCGCGCAAGAACACCGACTTGCCGCTCTTCTGCGGACCCGTTCTCATGATGAGTCGATCGATGTACTGTTGACACATCTCCTTGAAGCTAGGGTAATGCTGAATGATCCCACCTGTGTATGCGACCACGAGTTCCTCGGGCCCTGACTGCCAGTCTGCAGGGACAGGCGTGGGGGACAAGACCGGAACAATGGGTCCATTAATGCTACTTGATCCACTCGTTCCAGATGCTTCCGGTTCTAAATGCTTCGAGACCGCGGATAGATCCAGGTTGGCACTGATCTCAGTTGTGGGGGAACCCCCGGGACTGTCGACTTTCAGTTCGATCTCCTGTGCACATGCAAGGAGTCCTACAACGGCTGCCGCGATCAAACCTGCAGATCGCCGTTGCACAGTCCTAGCAATCTTGCGGAAAGCGGTGGCCGACGGTGCATCCCAATTCCACTCGCTAGATTCAGGAGGCGGCAGGGCCTGAGCCAGCTCACTTGCGAGTTCATGGTCGGACCGGGAGCGAGCAACCTTGTCAGATATGAAGGAGGTCGTCAAGGCATATTCTTTTACCAGAGATGCGGGTAGATCCTTCTTGGATAAACCACCTTGGGTTGTGAGATAATCACAGAGAATGAGCCGAATGAGTTCGCCAATGTAACGGCCGCCAGTCATATACTCGAACGGTTGAAACCCCGGTCGTGCACATGCCTGATCAAGCTCGATGTCCCAATGGGTGATTATGTTGAGCTCTTTCAACGGCGGAGCGGCACCAGAAATCGTCCATTCGGTGTTGACCACAGTTTCGTCAGCCTCGGGATTTCTCTGTTGTACCTGTTTTGCTTTGGAGCTGTGGAGCGAGCTGAGCTTCATGGGAATGGTTGCATTGCAACCCGTCCCCACAATAATTCCCATCGCAACTCTGCTGTTGGGCAATGACTTCACAGAGTAGGCAAGAGAAGCGATAGTGGCCACGGTGTCATTGGTGATCGCCGCGATCTTTAATTTAGGGAGATTAAAGAGCTTCCGCCGTTTGCTGGATGGTTCACATTCGTCGTCCGGTCGTCTGGTGTGCTTTTCGTAGCCACTTAGAAGGATTTTGCGGAGATCGAGGTCGGATGAAATCGCAAATCCTTTGCCCATCGGCATCAACGTCGCCTCAGTGAGCGATTCTTGCCTAGGCTGCGTTAGTAAGACAGGATTGACCCTGCCAACTCACTGGGTAACACTTACATGATGGGAAAACTAAATGTAATGCCCATCTCTAATTCCTCCGGAATCTCGCCACGAGTGCTCTCCGATGTCAGGCTCTCCGCCACGACCTCCGCGATGCAGTCGCCAATCCAGGAGAACAGGTCCTCCGCCTTATCCATCTTCAGATGCTCTTGAATGGGCCATGCTCTTTCTAATGTCCGCTTTACACGCTGTCTCTGTGCCTTGCGTAGGGTATCTCTCGACCGCGCTGAAGCATCGCCTGGCGGTGTATCAGACTCGGCCGCCTCTCCAAGCAACTCGATGAAGGCAACCCGAAGATTGGTTCCGCCGACATCGATGGCTAGGTATCGACCCGTCTCCAGACCGGTGGGCAGACGGGTAACCGGTGTCGGTAGGAATTGCTCCTTGGAATGCAGGGCTAGGTCTTTATAGATTGTGGAGAAGCGGCGCGCGAGCTGATACAGGACCGCTTCATCCAGAACCAACGGCGACAGAAATTCATCCAATTTACGCTGAAGTTCTAGGTATTCCTGGTGTGAGGGGTCCATTTCAGCGTTCTCCTCCTCGTCCTCTTCTTCGAGTGGATCATCGTGTATGTTATCATGGTCTTCATCCCTGCTTTTGTCCACCTCTATAGGACTCGTGGAAGTCATGTTGTGAAGGGGTTCCGCGCCGAGGAGGGCGGTCGAACAGGCAAGTTACCGACGCGTGTGACTTGCGGGTAGCAATCGTTTCGGTGAAGAGTAACTTGTGCGACAGAGCGGTAAGTTGGCGGAAGGAAAGGGTTCAGGTATGGTGTTTATCTGCTTGTCCTCGCGGAATGTTTACCAGGTAGGACGGGATGTGGGGGAGCAGGAATGGGGATTTCAGTCCCGGTGATAGGACGCATACAACGGCGAGCCCTGTCGTACGCGATCCTGTTGATTGCTGAAGGAATTCAAGATGCAAACCCTAGCTGGGGGTCTTTCCGTGGGGGTCGTAGGTCCGGGGACGATAGGTTCTCCAAGGGGGGACGTTATCTTGCAGCTTGCTCTAGACTATGATGAGTGTGACCGTCAGCTCCCAAGGTTACAGTCAATGCACGGGTTCGAGCGCGGACGTTATCAGCTGCAGTGGCCTGTCTGTATGATGAAAAGAGGAAAGGCTGAGATATTTCGCCGGACAAGAAGGGTGCGACAGTGACGATCATGATGCAGGGAGTCTGGCAAAAAAAAGTGGACTGCAAGAAGGAGAAGGGAGGAGGGGGGAGTGAAGGGACAGAGGCATACTCTTGTAAGTCAAAGAACCCCACCAGGACGGTAGAACACAGTTGACTGTGGGGAGTACGTACCTGAGGCGTGATAGTGAATGATGCTGGAAGAGCACAGGTGGAAATACTTTCAATTAAATATTATAATCATTTTCCGTACAGTAGAAAGAAAACAGGACCAGCCAGTGAGTAAGAGTTCATTGCCATTCCCCACCCCAAGAAGACTAAAGTAGTTTCAGTAGCCAGACGGTGGGCAAGAAGGGGCACGACGGAGAAACGGAGGAGAAAGGAAAGAAAAGGAAACGGGTTGAAGTGGTAAAAGAAAAGAAGGAAAAGAGGGAAAAAAAAGAGTGACGAGTACGTATTAGCCTTCAGAGCCGCCGGCCGTTGTGGATGATGGGGAAAATGCAGATGCGACCATCGGCGGATAGACGATGTGACGCTACCATGGAAGGAGTGGAGGATGTACTACTAAGTTACTACTAGGTAGTTGTAACTTAGTAGTAACTAGTAGTTACTCGGTCGATGACCCAGGATGATACTGGCTCGATCTGATTCTGGACCCTCATCTTTTCCCCCTTCCACCTATATGGAATGCCATTCAGTTGTAGTTGAGTTGTACTGTAGCCTACCTGGTGGTGAGGTTCCGCTGACCAAGGCTCTCACCATAATCAACGATTAATTGTGATTGGAACCTGTGGGATGTGAGGTGATAGACAACAACAATTATTTGTTGTCCCTGTTGTTATTGTTGTTGTTGTTGTTTTCCCTTTGATTTTTCCACCACCCACACCCCCTTCGTGGTCTTTTCCCCTCCGGGAAACCGTCCCCTTCCCGCTAAGTAGTCAACGTCACCTTCTCCTCTTCCTCTCTTATCTCAAATACCACGCCAATATACAAGAAATCCCCCTTCGTTTTCAATTGGTGACCGCATTTCCTCCTTGGTGTCAGGTCTGATTTGCCATGGAATCATTTTTTCGGCCAAGCCTAGCTGCACCAGCTGTCATTTAAACTACTGACTGCCTCGTTCCGCTCTCGCCTTGCACAGAGGAGGCCAGTATGCAATGGATGCTCTTTTTCACCAACACCGCTGTCTTGAATACCAGACTACGAATCAGATTATCGCAACTTTGAAACAGAATCGTTGAGAAAATTGTTAGCTCGTCATCCTGGTTCGAGCGTCTATCTAGCCATGTGGTAAATGGTGGGGCCATTTGTCCCTTATGCGTATCATGTCCGTTGAGTCACAACATGATGCCTTTCAAGCCTTGCTTTGGAGATACGTACTAGGCGTTAGATCAAACTCTCCTAATCCGAGAAGGCAGCCGAGTGGAGGAATAGGTGAAGTCGAGTCAGATGGGATTTACGCTTCGACCTCTATCTGTCGGCGCTTCGTATAGTCTCCAGCATAGCCGACCAAACGACTTGCCATGACACCACGCCTCGATGCCAATGCTCAGTTGTGAACCTGCGATGTACTGACGGCACTACTCTCAGACCACTGCTGCCCTCGCCGGAGAAAGTTCGTTCGCCCCGATTGGCCAGCCGAGAAGTCTGGGTCAGTGATGACTCCTCGCTTATACTTGCGATGTTGTGACCACGGCGCGGTGGGCCCCATTCAGACAAGCCACAGGATACAAAAAGATGTCCATACGAGTCCTCGGATAGAGAAGGGAGTCATCACCACCGCAGGTTTTGTTTGGGAGGTGTGAATTGCGTCAGATGCAGGCTGCTCTGGGCAATACGGTCAGAGCTCCGAAGTCGGAGATTCACTTGGGGGGGCAAGAAGGGCTTCAGGGCAGGACTGATGACCGGTACACTTGCGGAGGTTCCGGGCCAGCCAAGCAACTTGCCCTGTGATCTGCGCGATAGGCTAACGGGTCCCGTCATAGTAGTCGCATATCTTTGTATGCTATGCACTACGGAGTAGTCTAGTCCTCTCCCTTGTTGACCCTTAGTGTGCTACTTGAGATCAAGGGCCTCCACTAAGAATACTGCTGATGCTCGGAGGGCTTCCCTCTTATGTCAATTAGCGTGATAGGCCTCGTCACCGAGCTCTGGATGGAGTGCCTGCCTGCAGACAGCTAACTTGAGGAGCTTTAGTTCCATCTGCCATCACTCCTTCACGGGTTGCGCTATCAGGTCCGCGATGACCGTGCTCACTGAAAGGCGTTTGATCTAAGATTATGCGACAGAGTATCTTATCCGAAAATTAATACCAATGGAAATCAAAGGTCTGGTGCTTTAAGTGCCATGTAAATTGCTTTCTCTTGTAATCGGCGTGGATATTAGATTGCTCCCCTCATGGCTAGATTGTAGGCTAGAAGCTTATGTTTGAGGTTACCGATAGTAAGTTATAGTCCTGCGGGTTAACTTAGCTCTAGTAGCTCAGCATGGCAGTAGCATGTCTCAGTTGTTATTCGGCATTCGTAACTTGCGACAGCAGACATTGAATAATATGTCCAAAAGTTGGAGCCTGAATGCCTTAAGTGGATGAGGTGTTCGCACTGGGTGGACTGTCAACAACTGATCTATGCCGTGTTCTGACTCGCACGGATCAGTACGGATAAGCTGCTGCGTGGATCGTAGCCGTTCATCCAGCTAGGGCTGCTCCGAAGCCCATCGAGAGTCGTAGTGCGTATGGAGTGCATAAGGCGTTGGTTGAGTTCCAACCCCGGCGGCATTGCTGCAACAATGCAACTTCAATGTATGATTCATGCAAGAAGCATGGCAATTGAGGTTCACATAGACAGCACAGCGAAGAAGTAGAACTGAATCCCTCAATCTGAAACCCAACTGCTGAAGCATTACGCAATTGACGATCTGAGATTCCCCTAACGATCCGACAACTGCATTAATGGGAACCTGTATGAACGTTTTTGGGCTGTTTTTTTGCAAGTGTAACGCGAGGGCAAATTGCCGGGCCGCTGACTCGTTGACATCCATTAATCACGGATCACGATCTTCCCCCACCACCTTTCCTTGATCTCACCCTCCCGAATCCAGCCCAGCCCATTCCATCCTCAACTTGCACTACATTGCCCACAACCTAGTACTCATCGGAGTACTACGAGCTCTGCCAAGATGGAAAAGAGAGCCCACGACACCGGCTACGTTGACATCTCCGACTCCACTCTTCCCCATTCCTTCAGCCGCCGACGCGACCGGTTCATTACCCGGCTCGCCACTTATCTGGGGGTTGTTGCTCTTATCGGCTTGCTCGTGTTGTCAACGACAAACTCCATTTCCGGCATCAACTTCTTCTCTTGTCACCAAGGCAAGAGAAATCAGAATGGCTCTACGCTGACAAGTGATGAGGCGCTCTTCATGCCCGCGTTGCCCGGGACCTCGCTCTCAGCGCAAACCACCAAGAAAGTGCCCCTAGAAGCTCACATTATGAGCAAATGTCCAGACGCACGTGACTGTCTGCAGCAGCTTGTCGTGCCTGCGATGGAGCAAATCAGCGACAAGGTCGATTTCAAATTGTCATTTATTGCTGAGTGAGTTGTGCCTGTCTCCTGTCTGGTCTCATGTCCATGGATTCACAAATACCATATGAGCTAACATTACACTCTAGTGTGTCAAACAAATCCTCGGAAATTCAATGCAAGCACGGCCCCACCGAATGTATAGGAGATATGCTTCTTCTCTGTGCTGCAAATCTTCCTTTCCCTCCTCAGGGAGTCGAAAGCGCTGTTGGTCCAATGACTGCGCGTACCCCGACAATTCGGTCCCTTGGCTTTGCAAACTGTCTTGTTGGGTCGTACTCCCAAATCCCGGAACGCCATCACGTCGAGCAGTGCGCATTGGAGCATGGCATAGACTTTAGTGCCTTGAACGCATGTGCTAGTCAGGAAATCGATGATCCCGACTACGGCGGCGACAGTGCGCCGCTCAGCGGCATGGCTCTGCTACGCGAGAGCGCCATCCATAGTGCGAAGCTTGGCGTCAAGACAAGCTGCACGCTCCGACTCGATGAGTCCGTCTGGTGTGTCCGCGATGGCGGCGTTTGGAAAGATTGCGCAAAGAATGGACAGGGCAGCCAAGTATCGGTGCTGGTGGATGAAGTCAAGCGACTATGGAACCGTATCAATTGATATTATCGATTGTATGATATGATGCCGATGCCAAGTGATGATTGATGACAACCTGTGCCCTGTTCTTGTCATCTCAACAACATGTGAACATAATTGCCTCAACTGTGTTTTTTTGTTTGTACGTTTGAATAGTGGCCTCGAATCTGTTTATAACCCAATGGACTCTTTAACTCCCACATCAGCCTTTCATACGCATGGTTTCAACATCCGCGGTTACCTCTGGTGTGTGAACATCCATATTGAGTCTGTTGTTGTCAAGCACATACTCGTAAGCGAACCCTTTTACTTCCCAGTGGCCGCGCGCTATCTATGCTCTTCCTGCCACTCTTCATCATCATCATCATCATTTGCCCTGTGTTTGTGCAGAAAGTGCCACCAGCTGTTTCAACGCAGTTCAGTTTTGGAGACCATGAAACTCTCTAGTGTCCAGAAGTAGACAGTAAATAGAGGTCTGCTTGTTCTACCACCACCACAACACCACTGAGCTGCACTAGGAGTGGACCCCTCGCCGACTAAGCGACCCATGCCTTCACTCCAAGCACTACCAGCTCCATCTTCGTTCCTCTGATCTGCCTTTCAAGTCGCCTGCTGTCTCTTTATCTTTTGAACGTGCATTGTCAACAATTCAAATTCGTTTGTCAAAAACACTCCTTACGTTATCACATCGGCGAAGACACAAAATTTCCGCAGCTGGGACGATGTCCACTCTCTTCTCCACGGCAACTCTTGAGCCACATCTAATCCAAAAGTTGAATCAGATGGTGGCCAAGTGGACTGCTTCTAACCACGAGCCCTCTCCTCTTCTGCTGCATCTTTGGCGGAACCCAGAGAACATAGACGCCCTCGACCGAATCATCCGCAACCATATTTCTCTCATCAACCGGCGGTCCCAGGATGCCGCGGACGGCGAGATCAGTCTCTATGACCGGGCATTGGTGGCAATAGGTCATAATGGATTTGAGATTGGCTCCGAAGTGCAAGACTTCTACCTCACCGAGTTCCTTGGAGCTGATATCTCCTGCTCTGTCAATCAGCAGGTCGCCTCCGACTACATAGAGTTCAACCTTGAGTTGGAAAGAGGTATGAAACCGCTCTCGTGTCCCCAAGTTTACCGGTCAAAAGGGGAGACTACATGCTAATACATTTCCCGTCGCTTAGTTCTCGGACTTGGTGACACTGAAAGCGTAAGCGGAGCTGCCAGCGCCACCGGCAACCCTAGCACCGGTCATGGAGGCCCAGGTACAACGGGCACTCGAGACGCGTCTGGACGACCCAGCTCGCCCTGCCACGGGATCAGCATCCAGCCGAACATCAACCGCCTGGTCATCCGGTTCCGCCAGGCCAAGAACGAGTTCTACCGTCACAGTGAGACTAACACGGATACCGAGTCTTCGGTCCGGTTCCTGCGTGACACGGCAGAGAATGCGTTGCAGTACCTTCGGGCCAACGGGCGTCCCAACCATCCCCTCATCCCAGACATTGAATATCATTTCCGGCTGGCACGCGACCGCGCCGCGCAACTCAGCGGGGGGCGTCAGCGCCGCTTCGAAGATCCTGGTCGTCATGACGGAGGCGGAATCCACTTCCGGGGATCGCGTCGTGAGGATCCCAGGCGTTATGTGGGCGATCCTACTCCGCGAGCTAGAGCCCATGATACACCTCGTGGCAACAATGGACGTCCCGTCGAGGCAGCCCCCAATGACAGGAATGACAGGACCAACGGCACCAGTAATGGCAGGAAGAACGGGGCTAGTCCTTGTCCTTCGAACAAACGCAAACGCCCTGTCGATAGCTACCGTCCTTCTCGTGATAGCTAATCCAGATACCAAGCGCTCGTGAGGAGATGCTTGGGGTATCTGCTCATTTCTGCTATTTAGTGACCGATAAGGTGCTTATGCTCATGGTATTGGATACAGGGATGCGGGGATGCGGGGATGGAACATTGATGTATCTAATCAAGCAGTAACTAACTCAACTAACTGATTCATTGTTTATTGTTTAATGACGATGGATGGGACTGAAGTTCTTGGCTGTCGATCTTTCGGCTCTTTTAGCTTTGGGGCTGCTGCCACGTGCTCGGGAGGAGGAGTTGGCTTGTTCTGCTCTTATCGATCCTGAACCTGATCTCTTCACCTTCGCTGTACTGTACCTTATCCTTTCTACCGTCGTTGATAAAATACATGGGTTCAATGCGATCAACTTAGTTTGGCTTTGATCTGTTCTAGTTATGATTTATTTAGACAACGCGCATCAAGCCAAATGACCTCCTTGCGCGCTGGCCCGACCGGAACCACATCTTCCCCTTTCGGCAGTGGGTCTTCGTCGTCCGATGGGCTTCTGTACACTCCGGCCTCCGACAGATCAGAGGAGGATAATAATGGCCCCTCCGCATCCCGGCTCTCTCGTCCTACCGTAGGATCTCTGAGAGTGCAGACGGACTTTAACGACGAGGCTGACCTTTCGGTTTCTTCCGACGATGGGCTGGACGATGGATATGATTCCTATGATGATATCCGGCCCAATTCCAGCAGAGATTCTTCCCACGATCTTCTCAAGTATACAATTGAGGAGGAGCAACAGGTGGTCAAACGCTTCGATTGCAAACTCGTTCCATTTCTGGCATTATTATACTTACTTTCCTTTCTCGACCGGTCAAGTACGTTCCAAGTTGCCTGGACCATGCGCCCCCTAAAATACCAACCTGGCAAACTACTTAGCTAACCCACGCATGCAGATATCGGCAATGCGAAGATTGCCGGTCTGGAGGAGGACCTGCAGCTTTCCTCCTCGCAGTATGAGTGGCTGCTCACAGCCTTCTACATCACCTACATCCTCTTCGAATGGATGACTCTAATGTATCGACTGGTGCCCGCGCACATCTACATCGCCCTGTGCGTCTTTGGATGGGGCCTCGTCGCCTCTTTCCAATCGCTCGCCACCTCCTTCGGCGCGCTCGTCTTCCTTCGCGCAACGCTGGGGATCACCGAGGCAGCCTTCGGGCCCGGCGTGCCCTTCTATCTCTCCCAGTTCTACAAGCGGGAGGAACTCGCCTTCCGCAACGGGCTCTTCATCTCCGCCGCCCCGCTGGCCTCCTCCTTCGCCAGCAGCCTCGCCTGGGTGATCGTCAAGTTCAGCAGCGGAGGCCCCATTGCCCCGTGGCGCACCTTATTCCTGGTGGAAGGGTTCCCCAGCGTGATTGTCGCCGTCTTCGCCTGGCTCTGGATCCCCGACTCGCCCGGTACCGCGCGGTTTCTGGACTCGCGGCAAAGGATGATCGCTCAGCTCCGCATGGATGACAGTAGTAGCAATGGCAGTGGCATCTTATCACGGCGACTTGGAGGGTCCTTCAATTGGGGGGAAGTCAAAAAGACCCTCGCCGATCCCAAAGCGTACATCACCGCTGTGAGTCCCTCTGTACCCACTCATCTAACCTCCACATTATACAATCAACTAACGAGATCCTACAGTTCATGTTCTTCAGCTGCAACGTTGCCTTCAGCTCGATGCCCGTCTTCCTTCCCACGATAATAGCAGAGTACGCTCCCCCCTCAAAACCTACCCCCATCCCCCGCAACCCTCAAAACTAACCACTCACCCCCCGCAAACACAGAATGGGCTACACCGCACTCCAATCCCAAGCCCTCAGCGCACCGCCCTACGTGCTCGCCTTCCTCGCCGTCCTCCTCACAGCCTACTACTCGGACCGCCACCGCCGCCGCAGCCCCTTCCTGATCGCCCACGCCCTCGTCTCGGCCACCGCCTACCTCACCCTCGCGCTCACGGGCCACTACCACGCCTTCTTCGCCGACCGCCACCTAACCACGCTACAAACCACCATCCGCTACGTCAGCCTCTACCCGGCGATCGCGGGCTTCTTCTCCGCCATCACGCTGATCATCACCTGGAGCATGGACAACCGGCCCGCGCAGGAGGGTAAGGGTGCTAGCGTCGCGCTGCTGAACCTGGTGGGCCAGTGCGGGCCCCTGCTGGGGACAAGGCTGTACCCTGCCAGCGAGGGGCCGTGGTATGTGCGGGGCATGGGGGTGTGTGCGGGGTGTATGGTGCTCGTGGCCGTGTTGGCGGTGGTGCTGAGGGGGATGTTGGGGAGGGAGAATTGGAGGGTGCAGCTGGGGAAACAGGGTGGTGGTGCGGGGGATGAGGAGTTTGAGATGGAGAGGAGGGAGGGTGGGGAGGAGAGTGAGGTGTTGATTTTTGGGGAGAGGAGGAGGAGCAGAAGGAAGGGGCTGGCTGTTGGGGACGATGGCGGTGGGTATATCCTTTGATCCTCTTTGAGATGGAATAGGGGTTCTTGGTGATGGTAGGTCTCTGGACCGATTTGTGGCGTATTCGTTTGTGGGGAAAACATATGAGTTCGATAACTTATTCGCTTGGGGAGATAGATTGCTGTTCATCTTGGTGAGGGAATATAGAGTTGAGTCTATAGTTTGGTTAGCATTTACAAACTTGTAGGTTTGAAGTCTCGATACAGTGGGAAGATGTTGATCTCGTCGTCAATTCATCGGCGTAGCGACTGATGCGCTGGTACGGTGACCCCCCAGCCTAATCCATCATTCTAGGAGGCTTACGTATCGAAGTCCAGCACATTCTACCCCTCATCCCAGAGTCACTTAATTGAAGTAAGCGAGAAAGGATATCTGCTAGTAAAACCCGGGTGCCAGTAAGAAATAATGGCCCAGCTATATCAAGCAATAACGCTCCAATCAAGGCAAAAATACAGCCATCCGGAAAGAAGCCCGCACGACAAAGTCCAGTATGAGACCGACAGAACAGCGTAAGAAGCAACATGATTATGTCCCGCATTCCCCTCCTTTTTTCTCCTACGCAGAGCGAACCTCATCCTCCTTGAAGAGCACTTCCATAATCAACAAGCATTAAGTATAGAGGGTATCCCCACTCCTCCCTTCCATCTTCCATCGTCCTAATCGATGTATGTATCACGCGCGTATGTATCTTCCCAGCGCTTCGAAAAAGAAAGACTAATCTACCAAGCCGTATGGCCCCCATCGATGACCAACGTGCTCCCCGTCATAAAGCTACTAGCATCACTCAACGCGAACAGCGCGGCGCCGCGGAACTCCTCGGGGGTGGCCAAGCGGCCGAGCATATTCTCGGCCTCCCAGACGGCGCGGGCGGCGGGGTTCTGGTGGAAGACCTGCTCGACCATCGGGGTGAGGATGTGGCCGGGGCAGAGGCTGTTGACGCGGACGCCGTGGCGGCCCCATTCCATGGCGAGGGAGCGGGCCAGCTGGATGACGGCGGCCTTGGACGAGTTGTACACGGGCGAGGTCATGCCCTTGTTGGCGATCAGGCCGCTCATGCTGGCCACCAGCAGGATCGAGCCCTTCTGCTGGTAGGCGAACATCTGGCGCGCCGCCGCCGTCGCCGCGTGGAACACCCCGTTGTAGTTGATGGACATGACCTCCTGCAGCGCCGCCGGGGAGTGCTCCAGTGCCGCCTGCAGGTGGTTGATCCCCGCGGCGGCCAACAGCCCGTCCAGCCGCTGGTCCTGCGCCGCGATCGTCGCGAAGAGCGCGTTCACTTCCTCGGCGTCCCGCACGTCCACCCGGTGGTAGTGCAGCGCGCCGCCGTAGGTGCTCGCCGCGTGGTCTTGCGCCGCCAGGAAGTCCGGGTGCGGGTTCTCTAGGCGGTCGAGGCAGTGCACTGTTTTTTTGGGGGGGGGGGGGATGGGTTAGTATGGTTGGGATGGCAAGGAGGGTGGGCTGGGGTCGGATATGGGCCTGCCTACCCTTTGCGCCGGCTTCCATGAGAGCTTCGGCCATCGCCAGTCCGAGTCCGCGGCCGCCTCCGGTGACGGCGAACACCCGGTCTTCGAGATCGAACTCGCGGAATCGACGCCCGTCCTTGTGCTCGGGATTCAATTTCGACTCACGTGTCTGGATGTGATGCGCGCCATGGGGAGTCGAACTCGTGGAATACGAGGCTCGGAGGATTGAAGACGGGATACAGAAGCCTGCTCGTCGAGGCAATGTCGGAAGCGACCGACACAATGTGAAGCGCATTGCGGAAGATGCAGTGTATGCGAGGACGAAGGTGAAGAGTGAAAAGAAAATGAGTAAAGAAAACTACCACCTCACGGTCGAATGGCCGCGATTCCTCGTCACCTTGTGTCGTCTCCTTGACTGAGCGGACTTGGAGTTTATACTCTTATGAACCCACGCCAAGGTCAATTATCCGAGAAAAGCTAGGCATACACGTTGTACAAAGGAAAGAAAAGGGCCAAGCAAAAATCAAGCTGGCCGCGTGATACCATCCATGGGCAGGCTGTCAGAATCTAGAGCTGCTTTCACGATGACTTCAGGGCCCATGCCAATTCATTGCTAACTAAATTCCATGGTACGGGGACTAGTCCGTGCATCGATAGTTCCCCGCGATTTAAGCTTGCCACAGGGAGCGGGCGCGTCTCGAGGCAGTGGCATAGAGAAATGATTGGGGCAAAGGTCGTGTTTGAGGAGCTATCGTGGAGCAACAACCAACTGCCCATTGCTTGGATGCAGAGTCCGGCTGCCGGCCTTGATCAGTTGATCGAGGGATGACGATCATCCTCTAGGAAAGGCCCACAAGGAGGGGATTCCCGAGTATGGGGAGGCCGAACAGCTGGATCCGATTCAAATTCAGACCAACAACCAGCACAGCAAGGACGGTCAATGCTACTCGAAGTAGGATTGTCGGCTATGGTTCCCGGATATCTCTGATCTCAACCCTCTGGCGACCAGTTCAAGGGGGTCTCTTCAATTTTTTTTCCTGCCCTGCCCTCGGTCAGTGTAGCGGTGCTGGGGAGTTGCCAAGGAGGAGGAGTAAAGATGAGCTTACCCCGGCTTCTTTGGCCGAGGCTCGATCCATGGAACGGGATCCCTCCAATGACGGTCTCGGCATCCCCAGTGACCAGTGATGGTGTAATGTTTTAACACACCCTTACAGCATCAAACTTCCAAGGATCTTTTCTTATCTGTCTTGATCATTGACACTTATCTCCAGCCATGATCCTTGCCAAATATGTCGATCGAAGTCCAGCGTTGAAGATATTGGCAGGGTTTTCCTCTTGGCTGCGTTGCTGATTCTCCAAGCCGGATCATGAATCTTGTACAGATTCTTGACAGCACACGAGCCATCCACTTAATGAGTCCTCGTATTATCGTGTGGCAACGTCTTCTTCCAGGAGACTGTTCTCCAGTTTACTCCAGTGTGTCACTCGTATCTCACTGGACTTTCTCTGGGCGAGATTGGTAGTACTTTTGCACAATTCTGTGGAGCTTCCGAATAATGACATTCCGAAGGCTGAGGTACAGTCCGCCGAGCGGGCTGCATATCCGCTCATGATCAATGCATTCCAGAATATCCTGTAGATTCCTGTGATCTGCCAAGCCTTTCGATGGTTGGCGATCTATGCTATTTCGAACAACCCCTTGCAATGATACCAGCCTTGGGCGAGATACTGACTCAGGAACAAGTCGGCTCGAGTCAAGGGATGGCTGGTCAACACAAAAGGGGGAGGGCTTGTCGATCACCGTCAAAGGATGGAAGAAGTTTTCGGACTAGATTCAAATCCGTGCTCAAGAAGGAATTGCCTGTTTGAGTAACCCGTGAAAAGCCCGACCATGGATCATGTGTGTGATCTGAGTTTCGTGCTTTATTTATAGTCCGTCCAACAGGTGTTTGGGATTTGGTAATCGTATATTGGATTCGATGTAAGCCTTTTGGATATGCGACTGGACCCCTGAGCTCGTATCTCTCAAGGCGTCCGCATCTTGAGTTCATGCTAAAGATGAACACTTTTAAGGAATGGCACAGACTCTCATTATGACTGAAATGGCTTTGCCAGTAAGGAGACATGCATGTCACCTTGGAGAGTGTTCGTCGGTAGCCAACCAACTCCCTTCTCCCATCATGATTGTACTTAAGACTGGTAACAGAGATTTCCGCCCGGGATTTTCCGGGTAAATTGGTGTGTCATGCATAGCCCGGGCATCTGAACTTGGAATAAAGAGACACATCCTTTCATAATCAGCTTTCTGGGGCATGTACAGCATAATGCAGAGGGAAAATGGTTTGGAGAATCCGAGGTGGAGCTCCAAACCTGCGAGTCATGGCCTAGTCGGCTTAGAGTTGTTGCGCTGAAGTAGAAATCAAGGGCGAGCGATGCCGCCACGTTCTATGCGTAAAAACGCAGAGGGTGGGTTGGGCCATTATCAATGGCTGCAGTCGGGCTTGATGACTCTGCTATGCCCCGAGCTTATTGAAGCTGACGCCTTCTTTCCATGCAATCGCGAGATTTGTGTGCCAAGGTATGCCATACCTTGTGCATTAAGCAATGCCGGCAATCCCGCCTGCAGCAGCACCAGGTCCAATGCTTCCATTGGCATTCCCGAAGTCTAGTTTCATGAGAAGCCGATCAACGCCGGCTGCCTTCCGGGGAACGTAGTGTTGAAAACCGGGCTCGGCATCAAGAGACTGATACGACCAGTCATCACCTTTGTCCTTGACCGTGTCAAACAATTGCCGCCCTTCGCCAGATCGGTTATCATCTATGTCTCGAAGGCGAAAGATAACATCTCTGATCCCACCTTCGACACCAAGCCGTGCAGCTTCTAGAGCCTGCCACACTTCCCGTTCCTCTCCTGCGTAGTCTACCAAAGAGTCGATCACCCCTTCGTCTGTTTCTAGGTCCATATGGCGTTGTATGCCTTCTAGGCGCACCACAAGCGCAATAAAATGCTCGATGCCTGCGAGCAGGAACCTCAGCACCTTCGTAAATGGCACGTCTGTCAGGAAAAGAGCTTCAGCTAAAGTGAAAAGGTACCGACGATGGGCAGCAGTTATAGTTTCCGGATCATGCCGTCTGAGGCCCTGGCTATCGCGGTTTAAGCTCGAATCCGACGCTCGGGAAGTTGTCAGGGGTGCACTAGTCTGTTTGCTTCTCGACGATGATGCTGTTCCAGGTCGGGAGCTTGTAGCATATGTCGATTGTGATGTGCCGCCTTCAATCCATTGTTGGAAGTGTTGCCATGATTCGTTGATGACCTCTCCCTGAAAATAACTTCCGATCTCGGACAGCACAAAGAGCGAGCCGCTACACGTTGCCCAAACTGCCCTCATCTGCCTGAGTCTGACGTTGTCCCTCTGTCTCCCTTCCCTTAGCCTGTTCTGGCCATAAGGAGTGTTGCTTCGAGGAGGCCCCCAGGGCGAAGGATAGCATCTCCGGAGAGAGGTGCGTTTCCAAAGGTCACCAAGGTGGATATGAGTGCGACGGATACCTAAGAGGAAGGAGTGGATCTTCGAGTACACGGACGTATCAGAGGCGGAAAGGAACAAATCGAGAGGAGGATTGACTTGCACCGAAAGCTTCGTTGCGATGGGAAACAAGAGGTCGTCGAAGGTTATTTTCGACAACTTGATTCCTGAGTGCACTTCGTTCGCAACTTCAGACAGCGCCTCTTCTCCATCATCTCTGTGCTCATCGATCGTCAAACGTAGCAAGGACTTTGCGTGATCAAGTTCATCATCTGCAGGATCTTCTTCATTTTGCAGAGAGTAGAGCTCCGTCAAAGTCTGGGCCAAGGTTGCCATCACGTCGACCTCTTTGATAGATGTGTTTTCAAGTCCAGCCATCGGTTCACTCTTGAATCTTGAGTTCGCATTTCTCTGTCGCTTCTCATGTAGACGAGAGTCTGCATGCGAAACAAGCGCCGTTGCGAATTCTCCACGTCCGAGTAGCAAGAAATCATGTAAGACAGACAACGTTTCAAGGATCTTAGCTGTCGGCAGGAGGGCTGAGAGCGTACTTTGAGACAAAGAAAGCCGTATAGACACAACAACAGTGGAGATCATGGTTGCCGTCATTGGTGACTTCAGAGCAGCAAGATGTTTAATATGCTCTTCCCGTAGCGTGACTGGGGACGTGGAGATACCGGTATCGTTCAAAGTACCCCGTTTCGCTCGGATTAGATTCAAAGTCTTGCCAATAAAGAGGATAGATGATGCCGTCTGGGGTAGCACAAATTGCGGTAGGAGCTCTGAATGCAGTTCAAAATTTGTCTCATTCGCTTCCTGGATAAAGAAGTCGGTTTTCCCAAGAATCGGAAGGTTACCATATAATAACCATGTTGATAATTGCCGGATCCAAGCGATCTCCGCAGTGCTAACCAGGTGAAGTGCAATCTCCCTCACATCAGCATAACCCGTTTGCAGCTCCGCTCGAAGGTGGTCCATCAAGGCTGCGCCACTGCACGTTGGGCCGACCCCTTTCGTGTTTGCAAGCTGTATATACCTGACTACCTGCCACATCCATTCAAGTCGCCGAGTCCAAGGCGCGAATTCCCCGACTATTGTGGACAGTGGCACAATACCGTAACCGCCGACATAAGCACTGTCTTCGACCAAAATCGCCTTTTCCACCTCTAGTATTTTTCGCTGAAACCCCCCAAGATGTTGCGAACTGATAGCCGTTGAGACTGCCCGACAAATGACGGATGGATGGGAGGCCGATATCAATCCTGTACTATGTCGCAATCTGGCATGGAGACGGCTTAAATGGGCAAGTGAGGCGAGGAGGGCCTTTTCCGGGGGAGAGACGAGAGGGAAGGCATCTTCAGCGACAAGAGATTCTTCACTTTGCGGATTGAAAAGAGGCGACGGCTGGCCTGAGAGGCAGAGGAGGATTTCGTGGAGCATTGTGGTGGTAATTCCCTAGGTGGACGCAAACTCGAGGTCAGACTGTCATTAATGGAGATACCGAAAGAGCGCAAGCGAACCTCAAGGCGAGATCTCTATCTCGTTTAGACTTCTGACGTTGCCAATATAGAATTGAACGTCCCAGGATCTCAAAGCGACACATGTATAGGTGCTGGCATTGAGTCGTGGCTATGAGCAAGCAAGCCTCTTTGCTAGCCCCTCGCCCTATATCGCGGCGCGTCGCGAGTTCTGCGGAGGTAGATGATACCTGCGGCAAGGCATAGAACAAATGAGATACCAGCCTATTAGCCCAATAACGGTCTAGAGAGCAGAGAGTATCTTAGTTTGTTTAAGTTCTAGCCTTTCTCAACAAATGCATGATGGGAGAGTTGATCAAAGAGTCCAAATGTCAAAGACTAAACGGCGACGCATCAACAAAAAGCAAACGAAGTGCCTGGCAACCTCCGGTCGGGACGGACCCTTCTTTCCGTTTTCTTAAGTTCCATCGGTGCTGGCCAGTGTCCGCGGGGCTCTAGCCAATCACGGCTGCGATATTGGCTGAGTCAGCACTATCGACAGCTTGTCCCTCTCTTACGTCGCCGCCGAGGGAAGTCGTAGCATTAGTGATCCATCTTTCTCCTCTTCGCTGTCTATCCAACTCTTTCTTGCTTTGGACTTTTTTTTCTACTCAACATCTCTCCTACTCTTTTCCATCCGCTCAAAATCCTCATTTCTTCCTCCTCCCTTTTGTCGTTACGTCCTCCCCTACCCAAACCTTCCTCGACTCTAGCGCCTTTACCCCTCCTCCGTGACTTGCAGTGCGAGCTGTAGGCCCCATTCAACCTGATTAGAAAGTCTTGCTCCCGTGGCAAGACTTTCCTTTGAGAACTTTCACAATTTCTTCCGAACTTCCCGTTCGTGACGCTGCGAAGCCTGGAAAGCGCAGAGCGTCTGTTGATAACAAAGCTCCGCCGGAGAAGAAGATCATGACTGTATGTCTTCCTAATACTCACAGCCCCACTCAATATCCGACTGCTAATCGACCATAGGACTCCAAGATGCAAATTGACAACCCACAGGAAACTGTGGAGTTGATCAAGCAGGGAGAGATTGATGAATCTCTTTACAGCCGGCAACTGTAAGTACAAGCTGGTTTTTGCTTTCGCTGGTTGATGAGACACTGATAGGTGGCCGTCTATTCTAGGTATGTCCTCGGCCATGAAGCTATGAAACGTATGGGCAAATCGAATGTCCTGGTTGTTGGTTTGAAGGGTCTGGGTGTTGAGATTGGTAGGCACCACCCACGTTTTGGCAAGAATGGGAGCACACTTGACTGACAGCGTTTCAGCTAAGAACATCGCTCTTGCTGGTGTCAAGTCCCTCACTCTGTACGACCCTGCACCGGTTGCCATCTCAGACCTCTCTTCCCAGTTCTTCCTCCAGCCCCAAGATGTCGGCAAGCCTCGTGCCGAGGTGACAGCGCCGAGAGTTGCGGAATTGAACTCCTATGTCCCGGTTACAGTTCATGAAGGCGCCAGCCTAGTTGACGACCTGGAACAGCTGAAACGCTACCAAGCGATTGTTCTTACCCTGACCCCACTGAAAGAACAGCTCGCTATCGCCGACTTCTGCCACAAGAACGGTATTTACCTCACTATCACGGACACTTTCGGTCTTTTTGGTTATCTTTTCAACGACTTCGGAAAGAACTTCACGGTCGGCGATGCTACGGGCGAGGAGCCACTCAGCGGAATCGTGGCCAGTATCGATGAGGAAGGCTTGGTCTCGGCATTGGATGAGACCCGACACGGCTTGGAAGATGGTGATTTTGTGACTTTCTCGGAAGTCAAAGGAATGGAGGGCCTGAACGGATGTGCTCCTCGCAAGGTCACCGTCAAGGGCCCCTATACTTTCTCCATTGGAGACGTGTCTGAATTCGGAACCTACGAAGCTGGTGGTATTTATACTCAGGTCAAGATGCCAAAGTTCATGGATTTCGCACCACTCGAGGAACAGCTCAAGAAGCCCGAAGTCATGGTGTCGGATTTCGCGAAGTTCGATCGCCCGCTGCAGCTTCACGTTGGAGTGCAAGCATTACACAAGTTTGCAGAAGGTCATGGCGGTGAACTTCCTCGTCCTCACAACGACAGTGATGCTCAAGAGGTGCTGAAGATTGCCAACGACCTATCGTCTAGCCTGGAGGAGAAGGTGGAGTTAGACGAGAAGCTTCTCAAGGAGCTCAGCTACCAAGCCCGTGGTGACTTGAACCCGCTGGCCGCGCTCTTCGGAGGTCTCGCCGCTCAGGAGGTGTTGAAGGCTGTCTCCGGCAAGTTCAACCCTGTCTATCAGTGGCTGTACTTTGACTCACTGGAGTCTCTTCCGACTTCTGTCACCCGCTCCGAGGAGGCCTGCAAGCCCCTGGGCACTCGCTACGACGGCCAGATTGCCGTTTTTGGAAAGGAGTTCCAGGAGAAGATTTCCAACGTCACTCAGTTCCTGGTTGGTTCTGGTGCCATTGGCTGCGAGACGCTGAAAAACTGGGCCATGATGGGCCTAGGAACCGGTCCCAAGGGAAAAATCTACGTTACGGACATGGACCAGATCGAGAAGAGCAACCTTAACCGGCAATTCTTGTTCCGCTCCAGAGACGTCGGCAAACTCAAGAGTGAATGTGCCTCTGCCGCTGTGGAGGCGATGAACCCCGAGCTCAAGGGTAAGATTGTCACTCTTCGCGATCGCGTAGGCTCTGATACCGAGCACATCTTCAACGAGGAGTTCTGGGAGCGCCTGGATGGTGTCACGAATGCTTTGGACAATGTTGACGCGAGGACTTATGTTGATCGCCGGTGTGTCTTCTTCAGAAAGCCACTGCTCGAAAGTGGCACTCTCGGCACCAAGGGCAACACCCAAGTCGTGCTTCCTCGTATCACCGAGTCCTATTCAAGCTCCCAGGACCCGCCCGAGAAGACCTTCCCCATGTGTACCCTGAAGAGTTTCCCCAACCGCATTGAGCACACTATTGCTTGGGCTCGGGACCTCTTCCAGACGTACTTTGTTGGTCCTCCGGAAGCCGTCAACATGTATCTGTCGCAGCCCAACTACATTGAGCAAACTCTCAAGCAGGCTGGCAACGAGAAGCAGACTCTGGAGCATTTGCGTGACTTCCTGGTGACGGATAAGCCGTTGACCTTCGATGACTGCATCGTCTGGGCCCGCCAGCAGTTCGAGGCTCAGTACAACAACGCCATCCAGCAGCTCCTGTTTAACTTCCCCAAGGACTCCAAGACCTCCACTGGGCAACCGTTCTGGTCTGGGCCCAAGCGGGCTCCTACCCCCCTCAAGTTCGACAGCACCAACCCCACTCATCTCTCTTTCGTCATTGCTGGAGCCAACCTTCATGCCTTCAACTACGGCATTAAGAACCCCGGTGCAGACAAGGGCTACTACAAGAAGATTGTCGATAACATGATCATTCCTGAGTTCACGCCCAAGTCCGGCGTCAAGATCCAGGCTAATGAGAATGACCCGGACCCGGATGCTCCTGCCTCTGGCTCTTCTTTCGATGATGGGCAGGAAATTCAAAAGCTCGTTGACTCACTTCCATCTCCCAAGTCTCTCGCTGGCTTCCGCCTGAACCCAGTCGAGTTTGAGAAGGATGACGACACCAACCATCACATTGACTTCATCACTGCGGCTAGTAACTTGCGTGCCGACAACTACGAGATCCCCCAAGCCGACCGCCACAAGACAAAATTTATTGCTGGCAAGATCATTCCTGCCATTGCCACAACTACCGCCCTGGTGACTGGATTGGTTGCCCTTGAATTGTACAAGATCATCGACGGTAAGGACGACATTGAACAGTACAAGAACGGCTTCGTCAATCTGGCGCTGCCCTTCCTTGGGTTCAGTGAACCCATTGCCAGTCCGAAGGGCAAGTACCAGGGCAAGCAGGGTGAGGTCGTTATTGACCAGATTTGGGACCGCTTTGAGTTGGATGATATTCCGCTCCAGGACTTCATCAAGCATTTCTCCGACCTGGGTCTGGAGATCAGCATGGTCAGTTCTGGTGTTAGTCTTCTGTACGCCAGCTTCTACCCGCCGTCCAAGCTTAAGGACCGTCTTCCTCTGAAGTAAGTTATCCCACAAGCGCACTCTGCACGCGTTCCTCCAGGGACTAGGAAAATGATACTAATCCAAAATGCAATAGGATGAGTAAGCTGGTTGAGCACATTAGCAAGAAGCCTGTTCCGGAGCACCAGAAGAACATCATTTTCGAGGTGACGGCAGAAGATACGACTGAGGAGGATGTTGAGATTCCTTACGTGATGGTGAAGTTGAGGAAGTAGGCAGGCAAAGCGATAGTCTACCTTGCCGAAGTTCTTGGTATAGAATGATTATGCTGGGATGAACGTAGATAAACGTTATGTAAGTAGAAGCAATGCTATAACTGTCGTTCGTTGACATGTTTGTCAGATTTCGGAATATTTCCTAGAGAATGCGGTGAGTGATTTGTTTGTTGTTGTGTTCGTGTTCGTTAATTAAAACTCAGTTCCCGTAATAATCACTAGTCAGGAAGTATGTAGATAAGTTAAGGTGGTGGTTGTGCTGAGCTAAATGTTTGTCATGGAAGAAAAAGACCCAGAGGGTCCCAGACGGATGACTGGCGCATCAGTAAGCATTTGATAACGTCATCTCCACCCACCCCGCATTGCCCCTCAGCAAGTGGCCTCGAGCTCGTATTCAATTTCTCAAAAGGATCCTGCCAGCTTGTTCTTTTGTTTCACAACTATAAAGCTACCAATTGCTCCCGGCTTGTTGGGCTCTGTTTGCTCATGTTCAAAGTATTGCCTCGTATCCGCCAGCTATCGCAGCATTTCGTGCAACCCAGTTATTCCGCGGGGTTCTCCAAATTGTCAAACTCCGGCCTCTCCGCACCATCATATCTCGTATCTTCAACGCGCACCATGGCGGTAGGTAACAGCCTTCTCTTGTTTGATTCACGAAAATGCGAACTGTCTTCCTGACTCTTTGATGCCAATTGATAGACCAACAAAATCACCGATTGGGTCAATCCCGCCGACAAGTCCGGCGAATTCAAGCGTCAAACATCGGCGTTCCGCAACTTCATTTCCAACAAGCCCGGCGCTGAATTTCCCCCCGAGAAGGGCCGCTATCACCTTTACGTCTCATACGCCTGTCCCTGGGGTGAGTTCTTGATTAGTCCAAGCTTCTTGCCAGCCATACACCAACTCAACTAACCGTGATTCTTTTCTGTTGTCCACAGCCCACCGCACCTTGATCACCCGCAAGCTCAAGGGCCTCGAGGACATCATCTCCTTCACTTCCGTGCACTGGCACCTGGGCGAGAAAGGTTTGACTTCCTGACTTTCCCAGCACACCCACAATACAGTTCGATAAATACTCACGCCCGGAATCACAATAGGATGGCGCTTCGCCACCGCGGAGGAGCAAGAGCCCTCGCAGAACGTCACCTCCGACCCCAACCACCCGGAATTCACGCACCTGCGCGAGATCTACTTCGCCGAAGACCCCAACTACAGCGCGCGCTTCACCGTTCCGGTCCTGTATGACAAGAAGACCAAGCGCATCGTAAGCAACGAGGTACGTGTGTCCCCTCCCCTTCCCCCTTCCCCGCTTCACCCCTTAACCCCAGATCTAACCACCCGAACCAGAGCGCCGAGATCATCCGCATGCTCTACCACGAATTCGACCCCCTTCTCCCCGAGCACCACCGCAGCATCGACCCCTACCCGACGGACCTCCAAACCGAGATCGACACCTCCAACGACTGGATCTACAACGATGTCAACAACGGCGTCTACAAGTCCGGCTTCGCCACGACGCAGGAGGCCTACGAGAAGGCCGTGACGCAGCTCTTCGCCTCGCTGGACCGGATCGAGAAGCATCTCGCCGAAAACACCAAGCGGGGCCCGTACTTCTTCGGCGACCGCCTCACCGAGGCCGACATCCGGCTGTTCACGACCATCGTGCGGTTCGACCCCGTCTACGTGCAGCACTTCAAGTGCAATATCCGCGACATCCGGTCCGGGTACCCGGCCATCCACCGGTGGTTGCGCACGCTGTACTGGGAGGTGCCCGCGTTCCGTGACACCACCAACTTCGAGCATATCAAGAAGCACTATACCAAGAGTCATAAGCAGATCAACCCCTTCGGGATCACGCCCATGGGGCCGGTGCCGGATGTGCTGCCGTTGGAGGAGGAGGTGCGAGCTGTTGTTTAGGTTTTCAGGAAAGGGTCGGAAGGTTAAAAATTGTTGGTGGTGGATTGGGCGGTATTGTTGTTTGTATCGCATCGATACAGTTGTCACGAAGGATGAGTACCAAATAATTTTAGAACAATTTTATGAACTATACTCAATGAGTTAAATGTACTGTACCTTTCTATCATCATCCCCATTATCTTGCAAAAGGGTGGAAAGTTTTTTACATACAAAGTGGACATATGACCAAGATGAAAAAAAAAAAAAAGCTTGAAGGCTAGCATGGGCATCCAGTATCTCTCCCTGCAAACATTATCGGGGAAATGTCCCCATTATACAAAGCTGGAGGGCTAGGGGGCCAGTGAAAAAGAAAAGATTCGAAACAGGAAATAAAACTCCGTAACATGCTCTACCGCTCAACACCTCCCATGCTTAGGGAAAGGTCGGGCATGCGACTCTTCCAAACAGTTGGGTCATCCAATCTGCAATATGGCTTTTGTGATTGCCATATGCGAATGACATAAAATCAAAACAGTAAAGCCTTCGGGGGTTTCGGGACGGGAGACTGCGGGAAGAGGAAGAGACACCCTCGTCTATACATAGCTAGAGGTCTCGACGATCGCGCATTCCCACCACCCGAACAGAGCGAACAACGGTGGCCGGTCGGGCCACTGGCTTTTCTAGGGTATCTTGGAAAATGAATTCTAAAAATCGAGGAAGGTAAAACGAAACGCGGTGGGCGGCCTAAAATGGGAGGGCGAAGGGCGAAGGGCGATATAACTCGTGCTTCGCTTCGAGGCCCTTACCTCAACCCCAGAGCTCGCTTGGCATTCTCGTAGACGACGTAACTGATCGAAACTGCAGGTGCAACTTTGAGGAGGTTAGGCGTGAGTCCCTTGTACAGGCCACGGAAACCTTCTGCTTGGATGGTCTTGCGAGCGACATCGAAGATGCCAGTATATGTGGTGGGGTGGAGAATAGTGCCTTGAGCCTGCAATCTTGTTCGGAGCACGTTTAGAGGATAGACCATGGAGGCACTGAAGCCTCCGCTCGTAGCGCCGATCGCTCCGGTGGAGAAATTGTTTAGTGGGACATCGTCCTCATGGCAATTGTGAAGCCGTGCCTTGCGTGCTATAAGGGCCCGCTTCATGTACTCGAATGTCGTCAGATCTATGGCAGCGTAGGGAAACATCCCCACGAGGCCCAGCGGCAGGCCACGGAAAAAGCCGAAGATTCCATGCTTGTTCCAGACCTTCTTAGCCGTGGCTGCGATGAGCTGGTTGCCGCGCGGACCACCTTCAACAGTTGAACATTGCATCCGACTAGGAACGGGATTAGCCACAAAGACATCCAATCACACGGAATCAAAATGTACACCTACAATTTGAGAGTATCGAGAGGGTAGACGAAGCACCTGTAACGTGGTTAGATATCGAGCGTATGGTTAAATTTGTGGTGCAGCATACTGTGCAACCATTCCACCACAGCCTCCGGACAAGAACTGGGAAGTTGGTTTAAGTTGCTTCGTATCATTGTGGCCCTCAAGGCGGGCAAAAGCGCGTTTGGCCGACTGCATTTGTGTTAGCATCGTCAGCGAACGACTCGCCCGGGAAGGACGCATTCACCTCGTAGGCGCCAAATTTAATGGCTGACTCGGGCATGACCTTGACTACATTCAAGCCGTTGCCTTGGACGGTTAGCATTGCTTCGCAACACGGGGCCGTGTCCGAAAAATACCTGCGAACAAACTCCGAAGACCTCCCGCACGCCATAGTTCTTTGACAGCCTCGGCAAGGGTTTTGGATGCTTTCCCCGCTGCACGTATCGGAGCCCCATCCTTGGCCGCCTGCACTGCGGACTGCTTCACACCAGTCTGAGCGATAAGGTAGACTTTGAGTCGATCAAGAGGAGCAGTGGCTGTCCGTGACACGGCTCCTGCAATTCCGCCCGCGATGAAATAGCCTAATTGAGGAGTGTTCTCGGTTAACTTCTTTTCATAATATCGAAAGGACATCCACATGGCGACGGTCCTGGGTATGGGCAGCCACTCCAGCTCCAAATCGGCATCTGACGGTACGGAAGCAGTCTCGAATGCGAATCCGGGCTCTGGTACTCCGCCGATTTCCGCATAGGCTGAGGGGAGAAGGCTGGTCAAGAGATGCACTGGGGAGATATGGTGCAAGAAGTTTTTGATGGCCAAGATATAACATCTAAGAAACGAGAGGTCTGTACCTAAACCCTGCAGGTCATTGATGTGGACATCTCCTTCCGGGTTTAGATTGCCCGTGGCCGTGTAGTATGACAAAACGGAGCGGAGGTTGGAGGACGAGTAGGCGGGCAGGAAGAGCAGGAAATCCCTAAATAATAGGACCATCATTAGCTGCAAACCCCCGGAGCTTTCTTCAGCTGACCGCCATTAAGTAGGCATACCTCCACTCGGCATAAGAGATGACGCCATCCTTGTTCCTATCGACCTCCGCAAAGAATTCTTCCAACTTGGCGTTCGAGACCGTTACCCCGGATCTCGCGAAGGCTGTTTTGAGCTCATTCTTATCGATTTCTCCGTTGTGGTTGTGGTCGATGCTCACGAATAGCTGCCACAATCCGAGCTCAGTGTGGTCGACAAATGCGCGGAACTCTGATGATAATTAGGTTGGAAAAATGCCGGGCGGTTCAAGCCAGTTGCCCGGGGAGAGACAAATAGACCGTTGGGAAAGCATGCGCGTGATCTTACCAGGATAATCTATAAAGCCATCTTCGTTGGTATCGACCGCCTTGATGATACTGCGCAGCATGCTGTCCGCATTCTTGAGAGCTGTGGTTTTGACGTACGGAGGTTGGTCACCTGCAGCAGAAGCACGGGATCGGGTCATAGGTAGGTAGGTTGAAGCTTACGGTGATCAATCTTTTTAAACCCCTTTTTCAGACCATGAAAATCAAGATGACCTTCTCCTTTGGTGTCCAGGCGCTTCCATAGTCGGGCGACTCGCTGGTCACGATCCGATTTTGACTCGCCGTTATCCATGTTCGGTTATTCGAGAGATTATCGGAACTCCGTCATTATTTTTCAAGGAGGGGTCACGGGGGCTAGTGATGTAAATTCGGAGCCCTGTCGCAACAGGGAAGAAAGAGATTTAGACGATGATTCTAGCATCGAAGTCGCAAAGGCTAGAAGTGGGGTAGAGCGGAGAGTTGAGAGAGTGGTGGGCTTATTATAAAGAGGGAGATAAAGTGACAAACATTGTTGTGGTCGATGGTTCTTGTTTTCTGCGCAGGAGCCGATCGATAGCCGTGAGAAATCGAGCCGCGATGATTTGCTTTTCACTTTCTCTCACACTCTGCTTGCTTGGGTTTACCGCGACAAGGCCGGAAGAAAACTAGACCCCGGCCCGGTCTCTCACGGGAC